TCCCTGCTGCTTCAACACGAGGTTTCAGGCTTCCCTCTCACTGGCTGGGAGGGGCCGTGTGTGTACCCTCAAACCCACAGGTGGGGCCAAGGCAGAGAATAAGAGGTCAGCCCCACCTCACCCACAGACTATGAGTGCGGAAGGTGGATTCCAAAGGAACATTCAGGTGCTGTTCCCCGGAGGGGGGCGGAATGGATGGGGGAGAAAGTGGCAGGTGTTTCCCACAAGCACATGTGGGGTGGCAGGCGCCGTATTCTGTGCTCTCTAGAATCCCACTAGAATCCCTTAGCTTCAAGTGTCGGGGCTTAGGGCAAAGATGGACCATGAAGGGGCCCAGCTATCTTAAACCTACCAGCATCTCTAGAAGTGTAGAAGGTAATAAAGTCTACACAATGTGGGGAGCCAGTGCAGGTCTCATCCCAGCTCACACTCGGCATGGATGGCAAACTAAGCAGAGGAGGAGGGGCTCCATGCCACTGGACTTAAGTCAAATAAAGTTAAACTAGAGGCCCATTGCACAATAGTCATGCAAGAATAAGCCCCTGGCTTCACTTGCAGCTGCCCAGGAGCCGGCACGTCCCTGCTTCCAGGCCACCTCTTTATTCCTACACTCCAGTAGCTCCCTCCGCTGCACCCCTTTCTTTCAAAGCAGGCTTCACTCAGCTCTGTGTCTGCATATGCAAATTAACCTCCATCTTGGTTGGGTTAATTTGCATACTCGCTCTGGCTGTGGCATAGCAAAGTGATGGTTAATTTGCATGTTTCTCTTTTATTAGGTAAGATATGTGTGTTACAAAAATTTCATAACAAGGTAAAATTCCATATGGTAAGGAGGAAAAAGAATGAGGGGGGAAAGAAGGCAACTTAAGACAAAGCGAGGAAAAAACGGGAAATTTGAAAAAAGGTGGGGCAAATATAGAACTCAAAATCACATTGAAGAAATCTGTCAGGATAGATTAGTAATCACAGTACCTGTAAATGGAACAAGCTGGCCAATAGGGGGAAAATATGAAGATCAGACTTGATTTTTTATATCCAATCTAATACAAGAGCAAGACATGAGGAGATAAAAATGTTGAAAGTACAAGGAAGGAAAAATAAGATAAATAGGCAAATACTAGCCAAAAGAACTCTGTGTAGCTAGATTCTTATCAGACAAGATGAACAGAAAGCAAAAAGTATCCCTCAAGATTAAGAATGTCATCATATTTTTAAAGAGATTCAATTCACCAGAAAGATAACTTACATGTACCAAATAAACTGGCTTCAAAACTATGTAAAGTAAAATTGATAGAACTACACAGAGAAGTTAACCATTAATGCCAGAAATACACAATATTAAGAACGAAAGGGCAATATTATTTAGGATGTTATGGAGATTAAGAATGGTAAGATCGATTTTATCCCCAAACAAGAGAACACTCAGATACTGTGAACAAATTTCTAGCAAAAGAGGGCTTGCCAAACCTGACTTGAGAAGAAACAGAAAAGCTGATTGGTCCTCTCAGCATTAGAAAGAAATGAAATGAATGGAGTGCCAGCAGCACTTGGCTTTACAAAGCAGTTCCACCCAACTCTCAAGGAGCAGCTCATTCCAGTCCTGACAAACGCTCTGAGGAGAGAAAAAGGGAAGGTTGGCCACTTATGGGATGATGACACTCTGGTGTAGATTGAAAAACAAGCATGAGAAGGGAAATGGTAAAAAACCAAAGACAACTCCGATATCCCTCAACAGGGGGTGGATAAACTAGAGTATCTGTATATATAAAAGCCTAAGTGACTGTTATAACTGGTCGACCGACCAACCGACTGATTGACCAGGGGACAGATGCTCAATGCAGGAGCTTCCCCCTGGTGGTCAATGCATCCCCACAGCCAACCTCCCATGGTCCCTTCCCCCCACCAGCTGGCTCCTATCAGCCCTGATTGGGCCGGCTGAACTGGATGAGAGAGCCCCACTCGGCTCTAATCACCAACCAGGCCAAGGAACCCCACCCATGCACAAATTCGTGCACCAGGTCTCTAGTATCCACATAATGGGATCCTTCACAACAGTGAAGATGAACCATAGATTCACACGTGACACAGTCTAATCTCATAAATCTGACATTAAACAACCACCACCACCAAGGTAGCTACAGAAGAAGTCACGAAACATGATAGCATGTCTATAAAAGTAAAAGGCAGCCAGAACAACGCCATATATTGTTTAGAGAAACATAAATGTTTGCTGGAACAAGTCGAAGGCTAGTCAAGTTGTGTTTCTCAACCGGAGAGGTGGTTACTCCTGCATCCATTTAACATCCTTTCATTTTCTCTAAACCATGTGTATGTGTTTTTATAGTCTCTGGAAATATGAGTGAATTTCATTTTAAAATACTTAATGATGAAATTGACATGTAGCAAAAAGTATGTCTGAGTAGAGGAGTTGAGATGTTTATTTTGTTTTGTTAACTGCTATGCTCTGTATTTTATCATGAACACGAGATATTTCCATAGTAATCTCATTTTAAGTGATTTTTATTCAGCCCTTTAGGAGAAGGAAGGTATTTATTTCCTAGCTTAGAGCTAGCCTCTTTGATGATTCTGTTCATTTCAGTGAAAGTCACTTTATCAGAGCCACAGGCTAGATCTGGAATATTGCCCCAAGGTAGATACCTACCGGCCCGCGTGATCAAATATACACACTGTACAATGCCTCTGGGCCAGAGGTATGACCTTGAGGTGCAGGGAGGCTGGGTGTGCTGGGGGAGGAGAGCTGGGCCTCCAGCATTTGAAGGACGCATGGGTGTTGGCTGTGGCCGTGGCTGTGTCCTTGTTCACAAAGCCTTGCAAAGTCAGGCATTCACATCCACAGCTCCCACCTGAGGGACCCCGAGGGGAAGTTCTCCCTCTCTCCCTGCGGGAGGGAGAAGGAACTGTGAACCTCATAGATAATGGCTGGAGCGGAGGCAGAATGAGCTTCATGGGGCATCCCGAGGACCCGAGGTTGGTCCAGGACCACGGGAGAGACGGCTCCTTTGACTGACAGTGGACAAGGAAAGCTACCACTCCAGCCTAGGCAGGGAAGTGAGAAACGAGGCAGAATTTATGCCTTAGAGCTGAAGCCAGGGCCTGCCAGGGACCCCACGTCTAGCTCAGCTTCTGTCTGAGCCAGGGGCCGGCTGGCGTGGCCGGGCACTGTGACAGGGCGCTCCAAACAACCGTCGTTCGCAAATCCTCTCTCCGTCCAGCTCATCGTCCTCCCCCACTTGCATTATACACACTTAGATGTCTACACCAGCTCTCTGTTTTCGCTGAAAGACATTTATAAGAAGAAACCTTTCTATCGTCACCATAAATGGGAATGCAGTGTTGTGTGTGGAAAACAATGCAATAACTCAAGACTGTCATCAGTTTGGCCAGATCCAACTGCCGGAGCAAAGCTCCCAGCCTGGGCCGTGCCCTCAGCCTGGGCCATGCTCTGTCACAAAGGCAGAGGCAGGTGTGAGAGGCCGAAACCCAGGAGCCTGGCTGAGCCATTGCCTCCGACCCACAGGGCTGGCAATAGGGACGAGGAAGGGATCTGAGGGAACGTCGCTGAAGGGAAAGCAGGTCTGCCACCCACATCCTAGCGGGTAGCAGGGTGAAGGAGCTCCGTGTGCCCACAAGGAAGGGAGGTTCCCTGCTTTCCAAAATGTAGGTCAAATACTTTGTGGGGGGGAAAAACTGTCCTGCCACGCAATGGGCTCACGCATCTTCAATGGCCTCAGCTTCTGTCAGATTGGCATTAGCTGAGGACCTACTGAGTGCCAGCCACATTGCAGAGTTTGGAGGGCAAGCCTCTGGCCTCCGGGGAGCAGACATCCTAATGGAGAGAGAGTCGCTCACAACTGACTTGGATGCAAGGCTGGCTAAATCTCGGTGCCACATTCTCCCCACCTTCCCCCAGCTCATGTGAAGCATGCTGTGAATCCTTCCCTGTAGATTCAAAAATACCGAACATCAACTGGGCTCCTACTCTGAGCCAGACTTTAGGACACCTAATCCTTTCAATAATTAGAAAGGTATAAAGGACATATGTAAAGGCATATATCTATATACACCGAGTGGCCAGATGATGATGATCTCTGAACGCATAATCATCTGGCCACTCAGTGTATGTCCCATATAATAAAAGGCCAACATGCAAGTTGTCCCCTCGACCAGGAGTTCGACCAGCAGGCAGGCCGGCCAACCGCCCATGTCCCCGCTCCCTGGCCAGGCTGGCCAGACCCCACCCATGCACGAATTCATGCACTGGGCCTCTAATATATATAAACCAAGTGGCCAGGTTATCATGCATTCAGAGATCATAATAATCTGGCCACTCCGTGTATATAAAAGGCTAATGTGCAAAGTGTGCCCTTGGGAGACCGGGAGTTCAATCACTCGCTGTGATGTGTGCTGACCACCACAGGGTGGTATAGAATGAAGGACGGCCTCAGCCAGCAGCCAGCAGCCAACAGCCAGCAGCCAGCAGCCAGCAGCCAGGCAAGGAAGGTCCCGGCTGGCAGCCGGAAGGCCCCAATCAGCCCTGATCTTGGCCAGGCCTAGGAACCTCTAGGTTTATATATAAAGGCAGTTAACCTCACATACCTCATATACATAAGGGCTTAAGTCACTTGACCAAGGGCACACCGCATGTTACCGTGTTTCCCCGAAAACAAGACATCCTCCGAAAATAAGACCCAGCGCATGGAAAGATAAGACATCCCCTGAAAATAAGACCTAGTGCAACTTTGGGAGAAAAAATTAATATAAGACACTGTCTTATTTTGGGGGAAACAGGGTTAGAAGCAGATTTGGTATCTGATAGCAGGTGTCTAGAATGCTCCCCCTGTGGGCTGAGGGAGGAAGTTACCGTTGTACATGGGGGTCTGGCCCCCTTCCCACCCCATCCTTCTTGGGCCTGGCCTGGAAGACGCAAAGGCCTTGCTCAGTGGCCACTGCAGCCCTGTCCTGTGCTTGTGTCTCCTCAGGGAGCCTGCGCTGTCCTGCACCGTGAGCTCCAGCAACCTCCTGAGCTGCTGCAAGAGTCTGTGGGGACGCCGGTTCCTCCAGAGACGCAGGGGAGGCCCCTCGGAGCAGCCGCCGAGGACACCACCCTCCCAGGCCGCCTAGACCTGGCCCCAGGACACCGAAGATACCGCTCCCGGTCACCACGATGGGACTCCTGGACCCCTAAGGGCCCAGCGGCCCCCTCAGCGACTCCCTGAGCACACCCTGGGTGCCGGGCCACAGGCCCTGTCTGTCCTCAGCATCCCAGAGGGGAAATGTGTCCAGGACTTTTCGGAGCCAAGCTCACAGCGGCGCTGGCCCCGGTCCTGAGCAGAGAGGGCGGGGCATGTGGGATGTGTGCACGTGTGTGCACGGCTGTGAACGTGCCCTCTGGGCACAGCAGAGGGTGTTGCCATAAAGTGCTAGCCTCTGGCTCCCTGTGGGTGCTGCAGGAGAAAGGGAGGGAAGGGAAGGATGAGGAAAGGAGGAAATTCGTCTTCAGTGACACCTGCTGTGTGGGAGGCACTGCACCTGCATGAATTCCCATAATCCTTACCACCCGGGACGAGGATCACTGTCCCTGCTTTACAGAGGTGGAAACTGAGGCTCAGAGAAGCTCGGGGCCCACCCAAGGCCACACAGCTAGAATGTGCGCCTGGCTCATAGGAGGCACTGGTAAAACAGCTGCCGGTGGAATGAATGAATGAACGAATGAACGAACGAACGAATGGAGGAACGAACGGGAGGATGGTGAAAAGCCAGGCCTCACGAGGCCCACACTCTCTAGTCCACTACACCACACTGCCTCTTGGGAGAGAGATCAAGATGTTTCCTGACTGAGCCCGCCGGGAGGCTCGGACCAGACCCAGGTCCCCCGTGCTGCAGCGTGAGCAGCCGGGCAGGGGAAAGGGTGCGGGCATCAGGGAGGGAGGGGGGAGTTGAGGGGGTGCGGTAGACATGAGTAGAGGAGCTGACCCCACAGCACCCTCTGCTGGGATGCATGACCTTGGCCAAGTCAGGGGACCCCTCTGAGCATCTCTGCTCCTCTGTCCCCGGAGCGAAGCGCCCTGTCCTGTGTCCAGGGTGCTGACAGCTGCAGGGAGGTGGGGGTGGACTTTCCTCGCTGACCACTGCCCCCCTGAGCCCACTCTTCCCCTCGTTCCCAGACCCCGTCCTGGTGTCCCCGCCCTGCTCACCATGACTTTCAGTCCCCCCTGCACCCCTGTCCTCTCCCGGCCCTCAGTGTGGCTGCTCCCCAGCCTCCTTCTCTCACGGAGACTTCTCTGCTTCTGTGGCCTCGTCTACACCCTGGAGACTCATCCCTGAGCAGATCTGTATCTGGAGTTCAGACTTCTTGGGAGCATTCCCACTGCTGCCTCCACAGCGCCTCACCTGGCTGTTTGAAGGCACCTCACCCTGAGCATGTCCAGACTGCCCTTGACCTTTCTCCCAGCACCTGCTCCTCTCCCAGGGTTCCCCTTCTCAGACTTGGAAGGCCAAGGCTCAGTCCTATCATTCTCTACCCCTGCCCTGTCATCGCCCCATCCCCTGCGGCAGGACCGTGGGCTGGCTCTGGACCGCCCTCAGCATTCCCCACGCCCTCCCTCCAGCCCACGTCCCACCCACAGTCACAAGCGCAAATGCAACCATGGCTCGCTAGTCACATGCGGCTCTCGAGCCGCGGTTTGCCGCTCTGCTGACTAATGAGTTTGCCGACCACTGGTCTATCGCATGGCCCACCTTTCGGTCCACGCACAGCTGTTTCCACTGAAATGCTCTTCCTGACCTTCCGGCCACACCCTCCGCTGAAGGCGCTTCTGGAGGAGTCTCCCCGGCCCTCCCTACAGCCAGGCGACGCCCACCCCGGCACTGTCCTGGGAGGCAGCTGGCGTGAGGTGATACATGGCTATCCGTGGTTTCCTGGCCCTGTTCGCTCAGGCGGTCACGGGTTCTGCCTGTGTCTGTTTTGTTGTTGTTGTTTTAATGTTTTCATTGATGTCAGGGAGGAAGGGAGAGGGGGAGAGAGACAGAAACATCAATGATGAGAGACCATCATTGACCAGCGGCCTCCTGCACGGGGATGGAGCCCACAACCTGACCATGTGCCCTGACTGGGAATCGAACTGTGACCACCTGGTTCATGGCCACTGAGCCCCGCACAGGGCTGCCTGGGTCTGTTGGCCACTGGATGTCTAGACCCTGGAAGACTGCTGGGCACACAGTAGGAGCTTAAAGCAGCTTATCTGCCCGCCAGCTCACGAGAAGGCATGGTTTTCCCCGATGGCCGCAGTCATCCTGTCTCTTAGCCGGATTCCTGCCGGGATCTTGGGAGTTTCCCCGGAGTCTAAGGCAGGGGGGTCTCTACGTCATGGCCAGATAGTTGGAGGCATAAGGCTGGTCTGGCTCATCACAGAGACAGCTGGTCAGGCCGAGGGCAAGGTGTGTCCACACACCACCTGCCACCACAGCTGCCCGCCCTTCTGGGGGCCCCTCGGAAGTGGGGTGCAGGCTGCGGGAGTGGGGCGCAGGCTGCCTGTGGCGGCCCCCAAACCCACAGTCTGTGTCCCCGCCGTGTTCCAATAGAGCCATTGGAATGGATGCTGCCTGGCACTTTGATTTCTCAGCTCCCTGGCGAGGATACTCCATGACTTGGTCTTCCGGTGCCTCTGGGTTTAGGAAAGGAGTGATGAGCAGATGCTGGAGTGAAGGGAACCTTGGAAATTGCCCTAAAAAAGCGGAGGAGTTCTCGGGAAACCAGGTTTCAACTGAAAATGCCCCATCAGAAAGGAGAGACGGGCTGGCGGGAAGGATCTGGCCTCCGTGCTGAGCCAGGAGCACCCGTGCTCCGTGTCTGCAGGAGGGGCCATCTCGGAAGGTGTCGGCGTCGGCGGGGCCTTTGTTAAGCCGGAGAGAGGCAGCTTTGAAGGGGAAAACCTGTCCGCCAGAGAGGCCTGCAGTCGGAGCAGGTGGGGAGGTGCAGGGAAGAAATCAGGTCAAGGAAAACGCATGGATTCTGTGCAAGGACCGCCTCCCCAAGGCAGAGTGACGGGCCTGGAAAATGCAGGGCGGGAGCTGGCCAGAGTCAAGGTCACCGTTTGACAGCCACACCGTCTGCGGCGAGCAGGGTCCCCTGGGGTGGAAGGGACGCTAAAGACACATGGCAATGGATTTGCACAGGAGGCAGGGAGTGGAGGGGATGTGGGGGGGGGGGGGGGGACTGTGTGCACCACAGGGAAAGCTTACAGGAGCTAGTCTCCCGAGTTCTAATGTGTTTCCGGAGGGAAGAGGGCGCCATGGGGGACAGGCCTGGGGAAGGGAGGCGGCAGATTGATGGAGCCAATAGCTGGTGCTTAGCAGCTCCACATGCCCTGAAGGGGAACCCTGGGTGCAATGAATCGGGAGCACTTCTCGGGCACCCAGCCACAACGGGGAGCCGGGGACCACAATTTCCAGCGTCCCGTCCCAGCCGTTGAGGATGGCACCGGTGGGAAGTGGGAGAGAAGCAGACCATCGCTGCCAAGTAGGCTGAGGGGACAGGGCGGGGAGGGGCAGGGGCAGGGCCGGAGAGGGTCACCACAGGGAGCCGCAGCCCTGAAAGCAGGCTCCTCCCATGTGCAGGGAACCGACCTCCCTGCCCCCCGGACAGCGGGCTAGAACCTGAACATTGCCAGGGAGTCAGGGAAGGCCGGGCACAGGGGCGGGGGCGGGAGCCACGGAGGTCGGAGGGCAGAAGCCAGGAGCAGCGTGTGGAGGCTGGAGGGTGGAGGGCACAGGTCACAGCAGCCATGTGCTTCTGACGCCAGGTGCTCCGGGCCCACAGGGAGCCGGTCTGAGTTTAAGCTCAGGGTAGAAGCATGGTGGGTGGGTGGCAGGGTGCCCAGTAGCCCGGATGGATGGGATCCATTTGGAACCCCGTCTCGGCAGCTCACCCTCACTTAGCGCCCCCATCTGGTCCCGGGAGGAAGGCTTACACCTTCATTGTCCTTGTGAGGGAGCTCTTTCCAGTCACCCACGCAGGAATGACAGCGAGGACACACACACATCTCCCGCCGGAATTCCCAAGTCCCATCAGAACGCCAGTCTCTTCAGCAATGCCAGTCCATTCGGGAACCTTCCCCAGTCACCAACATCCGCAGGGGGACTGGGAGGAGGCCCGGGCCCCACCAGCAGCCCTGTGGGGCCCATAATTCATTGTTTAGGAGGTCCCTGCAAATGCTGGTGCCACCTCCCTGACCTCCCGTTTGGGGTCACACAGCACAACATGCTTCTCACGCCTCTGTGGGAGCCAGGACTGGCCTGGCTGGACGGCGTCCTCACTGCCTGGGGCTCTGCCAACGCTCCTGGCCCGCTGGGCCTGGCAGGAAATGGGGCCCCAGAGGGACAGGCACTCCCAGATCAACCTGCCCTCCGCTTTCAGCTGGCATTTACATGCAGGCGCCCTGGCTGCACCCAGACACTCTGTCTGCCCTCCTCAGGGGCAGCGGCGGAGGGAGCGTAGTCTCCTCCTCTGGGCACCTCTGCCAGCTAGAGGTGTGCACCCCCACGCCACCCCCCAATAGGAGCCTGAATAGGGACACAACGCACCCAAAGTAAAAAACCCAACTGGCACGCCAAAACCGGTTTGGCTCAGTGGATAGAACATCGGTCTGCGGACTGAGGGGTCCCAGGTCCGATTCCAGTCAAGGGCATATACATTGGTTGTGGGCACATCCCTGGTAGGGGGTGTGCAAGAGGCAGCTGGTCGATGTGTCTCTCTCATCGACGTTTCTAGCTCTCTATCTCTCTCCCTTCCTCTCTGTAAAAAATCAATAAAATATATTTAAAAAAAAAAAAAAAAAAAAAACCCAAGTGGCACAGTCAGAGTTCGAACCCAGAATCGCTGGTCTCCAAACTCCTGTCTTTGTCCTCCTTCTTGTAATGAAATTATTTTTTTTTAAACCTGATGGTTTTTTTTTTAATTTTATTAAAAATATATTTTTAGTGATTTCAGAGAGGAAGGGAGAGGGAGAGAGAGATAGAAACATCAATGATGAGAGAGAATCACCGTCTCCTGCATGCTCCCTCCTGGGGACAGAGATCGCAACCCAGGCATGTGCCCTTGACTGGAATCGAACCCGGGACCC